CAGGCCATGCGTGTGCTGTGAAGAACTTTGGAAACACCCAGCCTGCACCCAATGCCTAGCTCCTCCATCTACCAGTCATGTGGCCCTAGACCTACCACAGATTTATCAGAGAGGCCATAAAATGTGAATATCTAGCTCAGAGATCATGCCAGATAACCAGGAGGAAAAACAGGTAGGTGCTCAGGAGTCTGGCAGAGTAGAGAGAACCATCTTATGGTTTATGCTAGAGATGAGAACTACTATTTTCTATTGTTAACATAATTATTATGAGAAAAATCAGAACCTCCCCATTGGACTTTCTTACACTGGTTTTTATTGTTTCATGTTTTTGTTTCAGTAATGAATGTGTGGAGAAAACCACCAACTTATAAAAAAATTAATCTTATTTACTTATTTGTTTATGGTGGCGCTGGGTCTTTGTGGCTGCACACAGAGGCTTTCTGAGTGGCGGTGAGCGGGGTCTCCTCTCCAGCGGCGATGCGCAGGCTTCTCTGTGTGGTGGCTTCTCTTGTTGCGGAGCTTGGGCTCTAGAGCATGCAGGCTTTAGTAGTTCTGGCACAGACTTAGTTCCCCCACAGCATGTGGAATCTTCCTGGACTAGGGATCAAACCCATGTCCCTTACATTAACAGGTGGCTTCTTAACCACTGGACCAGCCGGCAAGTCCCTCACCAACTTTTGTGCATCTGGGGCCTCTAAGGATTTTCATTCGGCCTTTCTCTGCAACCACTGCAAAGCCTACAAACTCCGTGACCCACAGTCAGAGTTCCAAGATTGGTGGTTGTGAGCTTATGTATACAAAGTGTGACCAGAGCTGTTTCAACCACCACCATCTCTGGGTTGACAGTGTTGAGTGCGATCTCAACTATAAGCCTCAGTCTTTTCAAGGGCCTGGGGGACTGAGGGTACAAGCAGTGCAGAAGCACAGGCATCGCACATGTCCCAGGGGTGACCAGGGCGTGGCTGAACCCTGCAGTGCCTCAGGACCCTGTGCCTTGTGATTCTGCAGCTCCAAACTACTCATAGAATCTAGACAGACTCTATGAAGATTTTTGGAGACTGTAAAGCGTTCCAGGCATTCTTATGTCTGAAGGAGACATAGTCCTTGCCCCCTAGGAACTGGGTCTCACAATAAAGACACACAAACACTTGGAGGTGGGGGCCACACATGGATGACCTCCAAGGAAAACAGCCCAACAGCTGTGTTTGTTTGGCCAACAGTCCTTTTTTAAAAACTGAATTGGAATGTCTTTGGGAGGACACTCTAGGTGACCCCATGGCCCTCTGCCCCATCTCTTGTGTCACTGCCAAAATGGACATTATCCCCCTGGTCTCTACAGTATGGATCCAAGGCATAGAGTATTAAACACAAAGATATAAAGGCAGGAGCCAGTGTGACTACGTGCACAGAGAAGAAGGGACTTATCTACCTTAAGTCCGAGAAGGCTTCCCAGAGGAGGGGGTATTAGGGTTTAGAGAGAGATGAAAGGGTAAGGGCTTTGATCATAACCCAAGTAACTCAGCCACACCTCTCTCTGTCAAGTTCTTAGGTATTGGCTCCAGAACTGACCAGAGGGACAGGTTAGAACCTCTTATTCCAGGCCAGCAAGCCCTCAGGACTCCCCTCTCTCCAGGACAGGTAGGAGGCACGGGTCAGGCTATGGGGTGGAGCCCAAACCCTGTTACCTGGGGTGGAAGCAGGAGGAGGAGGGGGTGCGGCAAAGGAGGGGAGGGGAAGGGTGGCCAGAGAAGAGGCAGGGAGGAGCTAAGAGGTCAGGAAGCTGAAATAAAGAGCACCTGGCTGCCCTGTGGCGTCACTTCCTCCCTCTGACCAAGGACACCCTCCCTTTAGCCCTTCGAGCACCACAGGTCCTACAGACATGCAGATTCCTGCACAAAAATGAAAGCACCACAGAACGACTAGGAAACAAGTGGTATTTTATTCCTTTTTGTCTTTGTTGAGGAGAGATCACGACACAGAGAACGGCAGTCCTGCTCACAGCGGCATGGTTTGGTCAGTTTCCACAAGAACACGAGGGACGGGAGGGGCGGGGCCTGCCTTTCCACTCTCTTCACCACCTGGGACCTCCTGCTGCTCCCCCTGCAGCGGGGCTGCCCAGAGCCCTGCCCACTCCCTAACCTGGTGCCAGGCTAGCAGAGGGGGTGGGAGCCGGCACTGCTGCCTGGCCAGCAGGGCACAGACAGTGAAGCAGAGGACCCCTGCTCTTTCTCCATGCTGCCCCTCCCCAGTGCACGGGCCCCAGCCAAATGCATCCATTCAGCCATCACCTGCCAGAGCCCCAGTTCAGGGATGAGAGTCTGGGTCCAGGCAAGCTGGCTATAGATGGGAGTCTCTGGAGCAGGGAAGGCTGGAGAAGGGTGTATGGTTCCAGAGCCCGGGGGGTTATTGCTGAGAAGATATGCAAGGGGCACATTTCCCCGGGGGCAGGGTAAGGCGGGGCATATGGGCACCAGGGACGGGGTTCAGCCACCTGAGGGCAAGGTGGGCTCATCAGCTCCTTGCTGGAACCTCCCGCTGCCAAGAGACCTCAGCACAGATTTGGTCCAGGGACAAGGATGGAAGCAAGGTTCTTACAAAAAGAGTGAAAAGTGGCCATGCAGAAGGATCATGAAGGTGATGTAAACCTTCCCAAGTCCCAAGCCAACTGGAGATTCCCACCAGACCCCCATATCCACCCTGAAATCAAGAGAAGGGACTGGTCTTTCAGAGAAAAAGCAGCCTCCCAAAAGTGGGAGGTGATGGGGCCACGGAGAGAGAGAGGAGCTGAGAGCCACGTGGCTCAGCTCCGGCCCGGGAAAGTGCGTTCAGGTTCACTAAAACACAACATCATTCACAAACAAGCAACCACAAAGACCACAGTCATCAGACACACACACACAGACACACACGTCACAGGAGGTGGATGAGACCACAGGCTCCCAGTAGGGGAGGCAGGGTTGCATTATTAAGTTGAGGACAGGTGTTGAAGGGCTGGGGACACATAAGTTCTTGGCTTCTCCTGGGGAAAGACCTGTTGCTGAAGTGGCCGGTTTTCTTAAGCATTAGCATTTGCATCTAAAGGTTCAAGCAGCTGCCTTCAGGTTCTGGAGGTTGAAGCAGAAGAGAATTCAAATTAAAACAAACCCCTGGCTTCCTTTCAAACCTCTCATCCACACGTCTCCCAGCCATTCCTTAGGACAGCCCCTCTGCCCATGGAAACTCCTAAGATGAGACCCACTCCAAGTGCCTTGTTCCCAGTAAACCAAGGAGGATGAGTCTGAGAAGCAGGACCAGGAGAAGGTGGAGGAGGGCATGGAGCTCAGAGGAGGGGCGCTCTCAGGGGGATGGAAGCTGGCAGATGAAGACATGGCCGTTAAACCCAAGTTTCTTGATCAGGACAGCCTAAAGAATTGTTCACAGTCCTAAGACTCAGGAGAACAGGTTTTCCGAGGGAGTTCTAGTTTTTTTTTTTTAAAAAGACAATTATTGGCTCAAGGTTCCCTCCCTGGCGCCTCCCCACACGGCTCCCCAGGTTTGGAACCACCAGCTGCCGTGACGTGGACAGAACACTGAGCCACAGTTGGGACACCTGCCACCTGGACTCGATCTATAGCCACGTCAAGCTGAGGCATCCTTGACCTCCCCAGGGCCCAGCTAGAAAATGGAGGTAAAGAGCCTCACTCTGCCCACCCACGGAGCTGTCATGAGGATAGAAAAGCACTTAGGAGTGAATTCAAATGCTCCACAGGTTCCCCGTGTTTATTACCATCACGGTAAGAGCCGGTGTACGGGCATTCTACACCCAGAAATTTCTTTCAACTCACAGTTTAGGATAAAGTATATCCTTTATTTGGGGCTTCCCTGCTGGGTCAGTAAACAACCTGTCTGCTGATGAGGAGACGCAGGTTCAATCTCAGGGTTGGGAAGATCTCCTGAAGAAGGAAATGGCAACCCACTCCAGTATTCTTGCCTGGGAATACCAGGAAAAATTCTAGTATCCCATGGATAAGAAGTCCCATGGACAGAAGGAGCCTTGCGGGCTACAGTCCACGGGGTTGCAAAGAGTTGACACTACTTAGCAACTAAACCACAACATATCCCTTATTTGTATGACAAAACAGGCAGAGTGAGCTAATAGAAGACTGACCCCTGCTAGATCCCAGTATATTGCAGGGCATGCCATAAAGGGAGACAGGCAGGCGCAGAGGGGCGTGGTGAAATCCAGCCCTCAACTATCAGTACAAAGTCCTTGAGCCCAGGTTCCAGTCTGCTACTTACTATCTGGATGGCTCTTCTCTCTGACCTCAATTTATCCATCCATAAAATGGGGCTAAACCCCACCTGTCCTACTTACTTTTTCTGGCAGGCTTGAGTGAGTTTGTATATATGGCAGCAATTTAGATTATTGCTTTCCTGCATTACTATAATGAACAATGGAAATGGATACTAAACAGTAACTTAATGCCGCTAAACGTCAAGAACTGATCATGCTGGTATGGCATTGGGAGTGGGGATTCAGGGCCTTATACTATTCTTCCTACTTCCGTGTAGGTTGGAAAGTTTCAAAATAAAATGTTAACTTCAAAGGATGGCCTGAGGAACTTGCTGAATCATCACCGGAAGCCACTGTCTTTATACTCCTTTGATATCAGGAGCATTTCACGAATGTTAATTCCCTCCCAAGTCATGCCCACGTGGCAGCTAGGATGACGCCCGAGCAACTTGACTGCTGGGTTGTAAGGAAGCTCTGTTTCCCAACTGCATATTCTGTGTGTGTGTGTGTGCGCGCGTGTGGTAATGGGAGGTTTTAGTCTATCTGTCTCGTCACTCTTCAGATGTGAGTTTCTGCAGAGCACAGTTCCTAATAAAAGCCGTGCACATTGCAAAAGCTAGCCCAATTCTTCCCTGATGACTCCTAGGCCAGACTCCGGTCAGAACAGTGATGGTGACAGGAGGATACGGGCAGACAGCATCTTACCTTTGTGCCTGGGGGCCGCACTTCAGTTCTCTGCTTTCTGGGGCTCCGTGGCTGGAAAAAGAACCAGGATCAAGCACAGCGAATGTATGGAGGGTGGTGAATGAACTCCTCACCCCAGTGGGCCACCCCCCTGCAGCAGCTATGCCTCTCTCGGGGGTTGGGGGGAGTCTGACCCGTAGAGCAGATTCATGCAGGTTCATGCAGACTGCGAGTCAGACAGACCTGGGCAGATCCCTGTCTGCTATTCACCTGTTAGAGGACGTGGCATGTTCCTGAACTTTTTGAGTCCCTCTGTTGTAAAATGTGGAGAGTGATGCCTACCTCCTGGGGCGGTGTGCCCACTACTGAGAAGTGAAGCACTCTGCGCCATGCCCAGCACTAAGCAGAGCCCCTGTAAATAGCAGTCATCAGGAGCAGCAGCCTGTCTAGTGGAGGTGAGGGGTGACATGGGGCAGAGGACCTGGGGATCCCCCTCTGGCACCTGGAAACATGCCTGGCCAGCCAGCTCTCAAGCAGCCACAGCACCTGGCAACCATCCTTCACCCCAAGCTGTACAAGGACACTTGTCTGTTTCCTGTCCCACCTGGGCAGGTGGTCTTGACACTTACCATTTGCAGTGACGAGGTTCTCCACCTGAGCCTCCTCATCCCCAGGAGCCCTGCAGGCGGACGAGATGCAAGCCCGTCAGAGGTCTTCGGGGCAAACCCAGACAGCATCGCCACTCTCCTTGCTGGGGCAGGGCCCAGGGAGTCATCTCCTCCAGGTCATGGTGGATCATTCTCCATTATGGGGCTCATGGGGTTGGGGGAGGTCAGAAGAATTTACAGGCCCCCTTCGATGTTGGCACCCCAGCGGGGGTAAGTGCTGGGAAGGCGCGTGTCCTACCATTGACTTGGGACTTCTGAGGTCCATGGTTACCATGGGGACTAATGAGTGTGCCCTAATGTAGGGGCTAAAGGGTGAGCGAGAGGAAGCCCAAATTTCCACAAAATTCAAAGAGCTTCATGAACAAGTGACCCGCATAGCAGCGTCACAGGTCCCGGAAGAGGAGACAGACCTGAAGAGAGACCCTGAGGCCAAGCCCAACTGTCTCAAGGGCCTCCAGACAAGGATCCAGCATCTCCTTCCTCCCTCTCCCCCATCCCACACATACATCAGAAAATGAAGGGCAGGCTGACCCTTGACGTTTTGACCTCTCCTTTGCCCCAAGGCTGCCTGGCAACCCTCAAAACTTCTACCCCTACTACCCCAACGCACATGGCCTGTCTCTGAGACAAGAATCCAGAAATACATTCATTTGGGGTCACACACCACGGACCCCTCCCTGTCCCCTCCCAGCGTCACCCCGGGTGCCCACAGCAATGGTATCCTTACCGCGGCTTCTGATTGAAACTGCACTTGCATCGGCGACCTGAAAGGCAACGAAACCATCCCAGGTCAGTGTCTGGCTTGGCCAGAGCAGGGCTGCACTGAGCCTGTGGGACTGTGACTAGGAGCCTGGGATCCCGCACAGTGCACGCCTTGCACAGCTGTACGCAGCGATCCTTGGTTGGAGGAGGGCTCTTCTGATGTCACGGTTCAACGCGTCTGTCTGCTTGACCACAAAAGCGCTGACAGCTGCAAGCAGCCCAGGCTTATGAGGGGAAACAAATGCAGGGGGCACGCCTCAGAGCCCTCTAAAGACAGCCCATGTCTCCCCTCCCCTGTGGCGTCCCCACTCGCGCCCTGATGGATCCAGCCACCCCGCCCCTTTGTTATCTGTGCTGTTTTGAGTATTATTTTGTTCACGCTTCACTGTTTCACTGAGCACCTATTATGTGCCCAGCAGTGTATTAGGTCCTGGAGATAACTAGGAAGACAGATGGACTCCTTCCCTTTCCAGGAAAGAGAACTGCCAGCCTTTTACACCGTACGCCACCTGCTTCAGAGCCACAGACATTGCCCTTAGCGAGTGAACAGAGGAACAAACATACTTACTGAGGATAAGCAGGATCCCCACCGAGAAGAGGACCACGGCAAACACCAACCCCCCAATTCTCAGGGTCTGGTAGTCTGCAAAAGCAACAAGAGTGAGAGATAAAAGCGGGGAAGGGCCAGGGAGAGCATGTCGGTCCCTCCCCTGGATGTGGTTGTACCTCCCCTTACCATCACCCAGGGTTACCATCACCACTCACCGTAGTGAAAAGGGTCCTTTTCTTTCTCCTGCTCAGCTGCTGGAAAAACAAACAGGTGTGGTCAAGAGGAAGACAGCTCATATCCTGATTCCCAAGTCTCCCACCTTGTCTCACAGGCCTCACTCCCCACAAAGGGATCCCTGGAAAGCAGGGCCCAGGAAGCAGAGATGCTCAGAGAAGCATGGAAGTGTGGGCCAGCCTGCCAGGGTCACTGCGGGGGCCAAAGGCAGGTGCAGCTCAGAGCCCGGTCAGAGTCTGTGTTCATAGGAGCCGCACGTACTGCCCCTTCTGAATCTTACATCATCCCCAAAAGGCAGGGGGATTTTCTTCGTGTGACAGGTGGGGAGGCTGAAACCAAGGGAGGACACGTGACTCGCACAATCTAGACTGATGTGCAAATCTGGCTCCCAGGACTCAGGCTGAGCAGGTCCCAGGGACCTGCTGGGCTTGAGGGCAGGAACCAGTGGGGAGAGGTGGGCAGGCTGGATTGGGGGCTGAGTTAGCTGCTGCCTTCCAGGACTTTCTGTGCAGACTAAAGGCGGGGAAGCTGATCAGACATGTAGACTCTCAGAGCCCCCCACCCCGAGTGTCCCCCCGGGCCAGGACCTTCCATGAGAAAGGGCTGTGGCTGCCACCCTGTCGAACCAGGTCCTGAGGGGTACTCACCACTGGCCAGGACCGCTGGGGCCAGGAGGCCGCACAGAAGGAGCAGCACCACTTCCATGGCGTCTGGGGACAGAGGGAGGGAACGGATTCTCTGGGTAGGAGACTCCCCACTCTAACCCTCAGCCCGGCCAGGGCCCCAGTTGGACTCCCACCCTGACTCCAAGATCTCCGCTTAGATGGTTTGAAAGCCGAAGCAGCTGCCACTGACAGACTCCTTACAGAGGGCTCTGCAAGCATGAATTCAATTACAATGGAATCAGTTCAACCAGCAGGCGCTGTGACTAATAACCCGTTTTGCAGGTGAAGAGCCTGAGCTTAAAGGAGGTGAATAACACTCATGGTAGCAAGCAGCAGAGCCTGGATCCTAACCCAGCTCAGGAATGCCTCTACTAGGCCGCCTCTCCGGTGCCAAAGTCACAAAACCCCAAGGGTTTGGGGAGATCATCTCATCTGAGTCCTCCTCCCGAGTCTACCCAGAGACATGGCCATCTCTAGCTCACTGAGATGCCTGGGACTTCTGCCCATGTCCTCTACAAGCGAGACCCACTGGTGGTAGTTCTTTCTATCAGATTAAATGGGGGCAGGGAGACCAATGTCCCCCGTGTCTAGCCAGGGATGAGGGTGGGAGGCCTGCTGTTTCCTGGACTCTGTATAGTAAACCCTGAAGGGCTGATAGCTCTCCCTCAAGGCGCCCCCACACCCTCTCACCTCCAAAGTGCCCAAATCAGCTCCTCTCATAGACTCTAGTTCATAAACCTCTGAAAGCTGGTGTGATTAAACAAAGGGATCGTGGAGACAGGTTCTCAGAGCATCAATGCCCAGCCTCCCCTTCCCCAGCAGGTGCATGAGACGTCTGCTCGAGCCCCTGGTCTCTAGGGTCAGTGGTCCCTGTATGGGCCATCTGCATGGAGGCCGAGAGCAGGGCAGCTGGTCCCTCCAGGGATGGATTTCGGTGCAATTACACATGCCTCACTCCTGAGCTTAAAGGAGGGCACTAGAGAGCTAGAGAGGTAACGGGAAAGAAACCCAGGCCAGAAAAGACCAAAGCTGCTTGCTCTTTCTTAGTGGGGTGAGACTGGCTGCCGTCTGACCCCCTGCACACTCTCTAGCAGCCAGGACCACGCGTGCTCGGAGGGTTCATTCCTCTCCTGGCCCAGCAGCCCGCAGCCCCCAGCGGCCCTTCACCTCCGGGCCAGTAGAGGTCAGAATAGCTCCATCTGCAATCAAACCAAGGCAGTGACCCTGGACTTGGAATTCAAGAAGCATTTCTCATAAGGCAGTCATTTGCTTTTAATGTTACTTCATTTAATATTTGTATTTCTTTTAAAGTTCACATTACATTTCATATGTATAAAAACACATGTAATACACATAATGAAACAGTAAAAGAAACACCCATAAAGTAGCTTAAGAGCTGGCACTTTGTACACACTGCTACATTTGTCTCTATTTCCTCCAACCCATCCCCCTTGCCTTACTCCCAAAGGTAAACAGTACGGAGAACATAGATGTTTAATCAGTTCCTTGCTTTTCTTAAAAAAAAAAAGTTTAAAAATTAAGATACAATTCACATACCACAAAATTCATTTTAAAATGTACAATTCAATGAGGTTTAGTATATTCACAAAATTGTGCAACTATCATCTCTAAGAAACATTCACCATCCTAAAAGAAAGCTGGTACCCACTGGCAGTCATTTCTCATTTTCCCTTTCTCACAGTCCCTGACAATTACTAATCTATCTACTTTCTGTCTATGGATTTGCCTATTCTGGGTCTTTTATATAAACGTATCATGAAATACATAGCCTTTTGCATCTGGTTTCTTCACTTGGCATAAAGCTTTCAAGGTTCATCCATACTGTAGCATGTATCAGTACTTTTTATGGCTGAATAATATTCCACTGTATGGATACACACACACACACATATATATATATCTTGCTCTTTTTAAAGAATATTTATCACTTACACAAATCTAAAGAATACATCAGTGGGGCTTCCTTGAGCTTTATAAACGTATCACTTTGTTTCATCTTCTGAGACTGCTTTTTTGCTGTTGTTCAACACTTCTAAGACTCATTCATAAACACAGTTTATTCATTTTCAGTGTTATGTAACACTCCACTGTGCAGGTAAATATTATTGTGTATTGGTCCGTTCTATCAATAGATTCCCCCCCCCAATTATGTGCTATTACAGTGTAGTTTTTAAATGTATTTTGAGTTTGTTGCCAAGCACACAAAGGCACTGTTTTTCAAATCTTTGACTACCACTTCCACAGGAAATATTTTTTACATTGGAACCCAGTACAAATATACATACATGTAAACCAGAAATAACAATATTGCTAAGTAATACTTAGCCTTAAAAAGGATGATGCCCTCTGATATATTCTATTCTGTTTCTCTAAAAGAAAAAATGGCTAGGCCAATTAATGGCTAGACCCATAAATTAATTAGTGGGTCACTCCTCAGTATGAAAAATTATATTCGATAAGCTTAGGAGTTAAGTCATTGGGTTGTACAAATTATCAACTTTATAGAAAAATTTCAAACTATTTTCCAAGTGACCATCCCCACTTTAAAGTCCCACCACTGCATATGACTGTCCCTATTACTCCACATCCTTGTCAATACTTGCTGTTACTAGACTGCTTAATTTCTGCCAATCTAGAGGTATAAACTATGGTCTCAATTGGATTCCTTAGAAATGGAGTCTACCTTTTGATTGTTATTTGCCATGCCTGTTTCTTCATCAGTGATGGGCCTTCATGTCTTCTGCTCAGTTTTCCAGTGGGTTGACATCACTATTATTCACTTATTATTCTGGATACTAAAGTTTTGTCATTAAGTATACTTGCCTTTTTACATTTTTATTGTCTCTCAATGAATACAATTTCTTAATTCCAATGTGACTGAATGCAATGATCTTTCTGTCTTGTTTAAAGATATTCCTTGTCACCCTGAGTCAGAAAGAATTTGCAGGACTTCCCTGGTGGTCCAGCAGTTAAGACTCTGCACTCTCTATGCAGGGGGCCAGGTTCCATCCTGGTCAAGGAACTAGATCCCACAGGCCGAAACTAAAGATTTCACACACGGCAACTAAAAGGTCCCACATGCTGAAACTGAAGATCCTTCACGCCGTAACTAAGCCTCAGTGCAGCCAAATAAATAAATCCTAAAAAAAAATTTTTTTCTTCTAAATATCTTAAAGTTTTGTCTTTTATATTTAAGTCTGTATTCCATCCAGAATGAATGTCTATGGAAGGCATGAGGTTGGGATCCAATTCTTGCTTTTTCCACCTGACAATCAGATGTCCTGGATAGCACCATCTGTCAGTATCTTCCCTCACGATGCGCATGGCCACTCGTGTCATGTATCTGGTTTCTGTTCGGGTGTGGGTCTGTTTTTGGCCTTTCTGTTTGGATCTATTGGTCAGTTTGTCTGTTCCTGCATCAAGATCACTGTTTCAGTTACTATAGCTTTATGGTAATCTTCCCAAGAGGTGGGAGAAGCCTTCTCTTCTTTTTCTCCTCTCTTCTCTGCCTCTCTTGCCTCTTCCTTCAGGAATGTCTCTGCTATTCTTGGTCTTCTGCTCTTATATATAAATTTTAGAATCAGTCTGTCAAATTCATTCAGACTGGTTGGGATTTTCATTGGAATCACAATTCATCTATTCCCTTGTGGCTCAGCTGGTAAAGAATCTGCCTGCGATGTAGGAGACCTGGGTTCAGTCCCTGTGTTGGGAAGATCCCCTGGAGAAGGGAAAGGCTACCCACTCCAGTATTTTGGCCTAGAGAATTCTATGGACTTCTCCTAGAGAAGTCCATGGAGTTGCAAAGAGTCAGACAAGACTGACCAACTTTCACTTCACTTCATAGAACGTGGGGACAATTAACATTTTTGTGATATTGAGTCCCCTATCTCTAAGTCTTTTCATTTGTTTAGATCCTTTTCAATGCTTCTTTTTTTTGGCTCTGCCACAGGGCATTGGAATTTTAGTTCCCTGACCAGGGATTGAACCCGTGCCCCCAGTGGAAGTGCAGAGTCTTAACCACTGGACTGGCAGGGAAGTCCTTCAATGTATTTTAATAAAGTTTTATAAAGGATTTCATATAGGTCTTGCACATCTTCTGTTAGATATATTGCTAGGTACCTTATTATATTGTTGTTATTTAAAATACTATCTCTTGTGTTTTCTAATTTTTGCTGGTATGGAGAAAGATAATTGATTTGTATACATTGATCTTAAATCCAATAATCTTGCTAAACTCTCTTACTAATTTTAATAATTTACCTATAGATTCTTTTGGGTTCTTTGTGGACATATCTATAAATGATACAAGACTGCTTCTTTTATTCTAATAGAATATACTGTTTATTTATATTTCCTGTCATACTGTACTGCTAGGACTTATAGGAAAATGTAGAATAGAATCAGTGATAAAAGAGATACACACATACAGTCTTACTACTAATTTTTTAATTTGTATGTTTATTTTTAATTTTCCCCCAGCTTCACTCTGACATGACATTATAACATTGTTTAAGGTGTACAATTACACCATAAGGTTTGTTAATACTTCCATCACCTCACATGACTACCATTTGTCTGTGTGTGTCGAGACTGGATAATGAAAATGTGGTAAATGTATTTATGTGTGTATGTGTGTGTGCGTGCTTACACTCTCAGTTGGGTCCCACTCTTTGCAACCCCATGGACTGTAGCCCAGGAGGCTCCTCTGTCCATGGGATTTCCCAGGCACAAATACTGGAACGGACTGCCATTTCCTTCTCCAGGGCATCTTCCCGACCCAGAGACTGAACCTGCACCTCCTGCACGGCAGGCATCTCCTGCATTGGGATTTTATGTAGTTATAAAAAAGGACATTACTGATTTTAAATAGATTTCTTCTAACATTTTAGAAGCTCCCCTCTAATCCTGGTTTTCCAACATGTTTCTATTTTACATTAACTATGAACGAGCACTCTACATCTGAGTTTTTTAACCTTTAATCTATCAGTTAAGTAAAGTGAATGTAATTATCTAACATTAAATCA